CACTTGCCTCACCGAAAGAACTAGTTTACTGACTAGTTGCCCCTGTTTTGCTTTCGATGTCTAGTTCGTATTTTGAAATTCCTTGTGGGTTACTACTTGTTTTAGTGCGAGCAGTAGATTTCAGCTACCTTGCACTGTCGGTCAGGAAAATGTGGGGCATAGAAGTTTCGCGCTGACTCATACTGTGCAAGGTCATGTTTATCAAGGTTTGGGAAGGGTTATAAGTAACCGGGACTAGCGGACAACTGTTATTGAAGTTTCGTGTTCCACTGTAATGTAGGGCCTTATAATTGTGCTCAGTGTCATTTTCTCCTTTTCACTATAGTCCAAGGCGTTGACATTTGTTTATGCGATTTGTGAGGTCAAAGAATTTGTTCGCCTGCGCTGTTTTCCACGGAATATCCCCATTACGTAACAGTTGCTTTTTAAATAGCTTTTTCTATGTCTCATCCGCAACCCTTTGTGTCAGTGTATGAAATGGCCGTCACCGCGATGTTAGTCATCACCTTGGTTATTGATTGCTCGCGCTTATCGAAAACCCAGTGGTGTTCGCGAGCGCTGACTGCTTTCTGTGAATCCTCGCGGCCCACTAGCTGCGCTCCTCCCGACCGCTCCTCGCCCACGTGTGTGCATAAATAAAACTTGCTGCTGACATTACATGATCTTTTCCGTGATTTCTTCTCTTATCAGATAGACTATTGGTCATTTGAAATCGCTCATATTTCAGGCTTCTCGAGCTCGGTCGGTTTGCTTTTTGCCTCGCCACAACTACATAATCCAAAATGGTATGATTTTTAAAGTTTTTTCTAAAAGTTTCATTGTATAACTACTTTGTGGGCAGTTCAGTTCGGCGACGCGGGGTGAAGGTGGGGGGGGGGGACATTTTGCTGTTTTGCTGCTTCCTATCGACGTGTCGACCATTTAGAGAGCTATTCATGAGCTTACAAGAGTTGACAGGTTTACCATGGTGGCTCGACGAGCTTGCTCCAGCTTCACAAGAGTTCACAGGTTTCACCAGAGTGAGACTTGTAAACCGGAACTAGTGAAGCAGCGAAAGCAAATGCTTCCCCCCCCCCCCGTCGTCGAACTGCGTCCCACTTTGAAAGAGTTCGTCTTGGAAAAAAGTGCAAAACTCTGGGTCGGTTTGCAGCGTGGTTCCAATAAGTACTAACAGTTGTTGGCTCTGTTTGAAAGTGACGAAAACAGAGTTTCAGCTAGTTTGAACCGCTGAGAGATTTCTGATTGGTTGCTTCTTTATGTGGATGTTACCTACTAATAGCAAAAAGATTCGCATGGTGTGCTTTGTGAATGGTGTGTCTAATACGTTTTCAGTCGACTTCCGGTGTTATGGTCAACCCTGATGTGCAGTCGACTTTCCAAAAATTAAGCGAAGGAAAGAAGGAATTCCGATACATTATCTTCAAAATCGAGGTAATTTTTGATCATTTCTTGATTTTTCAAACGAAATGTGGGTAAATTGTGTGGTTTTTCTTCGTTTTTGTAGAATAATTCACGAGAACAAAGGAAAATGAGCAGTTCATCCGGTGGGAAAGTCGAGGTGACAGATATCTTGCAAATTGTGATTTTCGTGGGTGTAGTTTGGATTTAGATTTTCGTCAGTTCGACAACGGGGTGGGGGGAAGGGGTCAATTTGCACTTTTGCTAATACTCACCGTCATGTCAAGCCGCCAAGTGGAGACCTGTCAACGCTTGTAAAGCCATGAAGTATTTACCATACAAGTGTTCACAAGGGTTCACAAGGTTTGAGTGAGACTGTAACCGGAGCTAGTGAAGCTGCGAACGCACAAATGCCCCCTTCCCCCACGCCATGCCCGACGAATCGCACCTAGTTATTCCTTGATTTTATTGGGAAGCGAGTTTTTCTCAGCGGTCGAGTGAAATTGATTTGTGAGAGGTTTTTCTCTCAGTCGCCTTGAATTTCGAGGAATTGAGTGCTGACTTGATGGTGGTGCAAATAATAGGTGCTTGGGTCGTGTTGTCACGGTCTTCAAAACGAGAACCAGTAAACGAGGGTTTTAGAATCATCAGGGATGTTTATTGTTGTATGCGTATTTGAGTCATTTTTACACTGGTTTTCCCCAAACGAAGTCGTTTTGGTGAAATAGGTCCTATTTACCGTTGGTTTAGTTGGTCTAATGCCCTTTGGCGCATTAGTGACGTGTTTTGTGACTTTGACTGCCATAATACACATACCGCGCCCGCAGCTGTCTTGAAAATTTTTCTTTCGCAATCAAAATGAATGTCTCATTTCCAGGAGCGTGAAGTTGTCGTAGAAGCAGCCGTTTCGCAAGAGGAATTAGGCCTCACTGGCGATGATTACGATGACTCATCGAAGGCTGCCTTCGAAAAATTTGTGGCCGATATCAAGGTTAGTCATTGCAAACGTTCACGTGATTGTCTCGGATTCAGTGGCTAATTTTGCCTCCAAAAGAAAGTGTTTGGAGTGAGATCATATTGTTTAGCAACGCACCGACGGGTTTACTGACTGCCGTTATGCTGTCTTCGATTTCAAATTCACTTGCTCACGTGTAGGTGCAGGCACTTCAAAGATGGACAAAATTGTATTCCTTCAACTGTAAGTATATCTTTTCTGGTTACGAGTACTATCTCGGGGCGTATATACCGGTACCAGGCTACTTTTTTCCATGGGAAGTCATCCGGATGATGTTCTGTTATAGGTGCCCAGATGGAGCATCCATCAAGAAGAAGATGGTGTATGCGTCTTCTGCATCGGCCATAAAGGCATCGCTTGGCACTGGAAAGATTTTGCAGTTCCAGGTACGCAGTAGAATGTTGTTATATTATAATTCCTACTGTTTAGCGCCGCAGTTTGTGTTCCGAAAGTTATCAAAAGAATGCTGAGTTTTGGCAAAAGTCTGACTCCAGGCGGGACTCGCACCCGCACCTTACGCTTTGGGGGCAATCGCTATTCGTTAAGCCACGGACGCGCCCTTACATTCAGCTTGATGTTTTTTAATGGCCGTATCCTTACAGCACTCACAATATTAACATCGTGATGTTGTTAAAGATGTGAGCGCTGTGAAGCTATGGCATAAAAGCTGTGAAACTGAGGATAAGCGCGGCCCTGGCGGGGGTAACGGATGGCGAACTCGCCCGAAAAGCGTGAGATGTGTGTTCAAGTCCCGTCTGGAACCACCACTTTTTGCTCATAACTCAGCATTATTGTGGTATTATGAAGTGTGATAGAGGGCATTCAGAGCTCGATAGATGTTTGACTACGTTCGCATACTACCCCCTGGTCCCCCCGTTTTCCCCTTTCTTCACTGTCTTTCCGAACCAATCGCTCGTTTTTTTCCATCCCCTATTCATGAGTTTAAAGGAAAAAACGTAGTGCAAGTGCATGGGAAACTAGAGCAGTCTCATCTCAAGGGAATGGAGCTGGAAATTGGATATCCTATTCAAGGGGAATAGAGCCTAGAGTGTTGTAAGGAGTCTTATCCATGATCCACTCTTTTTGTTAAGTAGGGAATTTTGTACCGCTATAAAAGGTAGTAGGTGTGAAAAATGGCGACCTTGTAAGAATCATAGCAGATGCGTCATGAGAAGGAAATCCGGAGAAATAGACTAGACAATTTCAAGAGGGGCAGCCACATGTTAATGATCGGAGCCGTAGACTGTACAAGAAAAACGAACGGCACGGCGCGACTTAGAAAAACTTATGCGAATAACGGGCTCCTGATTTTTCCGTTGTTAAACTGCGCCATCACCATCGGTCGATCATGCGATATAGCTTCTCACTCAGTGACTAGTATAGTAATATCTCGGGTGTTCAAACCATGAGGAGGGGACTATCATTTCACCTCAGCGAGGGGGTCGTATTTAGTGAGTAAAGGGAACGAGGTATATCTGACTTTGAGAATAGTGTTTTCGGTTGAGGGCTTTTCCCGGTTTTCCTCCTTCGTTCGAACCGCAGTTTTATCCAGTCAAAAAGGTGAAGAGAATCTTTAAAAAAAATGCTCTGGAACAAAGGTGAAATTTGGGGGAGCTCAGGAAGATAGTAGGTAGGATAGGGGATGGGGAATGGGGTGGTACTAGGGTAAGGTTCAAGGGGGTCGTATTTTTTTTGCAAAAATACGCCAACGGCGGGAAGTGCCGCCTGATTGTGAAAGAGAGCTACTGCAGACTTGTGGCTGTAATGGCCTCAGAAGGGCCACTCTTGCGAGATAAAAGTCAACGATAAAGTCTTCGCCGTGGATCGATCCCTTTGTTGGATGCGGCACGCATCCTACTTCCATTCAGGATCGTAGTAGCTTTTTGAATGCGATGTGGGCCTATACAATGACTTACGAGGGGCCATTCGATGTACAAGCCAGTGTTGTTACCGTCCCAGACGAATCTGGTACCAAATTCACGTCCCCGAGGGGTGGAAGGCTTGGTTGGCCTAAGTGGGAGTCGACCCGGAATTCGTTATTAATGCTCATCTTCACCGAGACGCTTTACATGTTTTTTTGGCCTGGTTATCGTCAGAACATTTTACCCTGTGTCACCCCCTGCTAAGCTAAACCTTGCTGGAGAGTGCCCCTTCCGAGACACACGCCGCACAGAAATACAGAAAAAACAGAAATGGCTCAAGAGGTTACATTTATGAGTTCAGGGAAGTCCGAGAGAGTATGGGAGGTCAGAAAAAAAAGCTTAGCCCACTGCGTTCAAAATTGGTCAGTTATGTGGTGAAATGGGTGGAGCCATGGTTCTGTCGCGAGTGAGCTGCGCTCTCCGCGCGTATTTTTGAGCGGCGAACGTAGTACATCCTCCATGCTTGCAGACAGGATTACCACGTCCAAAAGGGGCCTGAGCGATCTGCTAATTCACATTATATTATCCGTTTTCCTGAATATCTTTCAAGAAATTTGGTACAGATTTGATAGTTTCGTTTTGCAGGTGTCAGATGAGTCGGAAATGTCGCACAAGGAACTGCTGTCAAAACTGACAGAGAAATATGCTGACAATTAAGCATGTTTGGTGGTGTTCATCTAATGAGTGCGCTTGCAACGGCGAAGATTACTGTTACCATGGCGTGTTTCACTTGTCATCGCCCGTTTTCCTTGTTTTCAAAGTTTTCCGTATATATCTCACTTAATGCTCTCCTCTACAAAGCGTTCTGTTAATCATCCACCAAACTATGCCGATATCAAGCGAATGTGTTGCGTGTTGCGTCC